GTGCGTGCGTGCGTGCGTGCGTGCGTGCGTGTATGTATGTGTACATATACAGGTTTGATAAGTGAGTTTTTGGTAGTTCTTGCATGAACCCAATTTGCAAGCATTTCCTAAGTTGCTGAATAGTATAACAGAACGATGAAAGATGGAATTGAATGATTTTCGTGCTCGTTACCTTTGGAAATACATCTTGGGTTCTTTATGGCTCCAAAGGCAGACAAGGTGTTTCACTCGAATAAAAGATGGTAATTAAAGATAATGCAGAAAAGTTGATTCGCGATATCTCTTCCTTTCAGCAATTATCTGTTACGTCATACTACGATTTAAATTCTTCTGATTTAGTAACCGATAGGATGTTTTTTTTATCTTTCACTCGTAGATCGGAAAGTTTTGTCTACGTACAAATTTTATCTATTTCTGCCACAACAGAAAATAAGTTTTGCATAAACCATTTTACTGCAACTTTGGAAGTACAAGCACATCCACTTTTATCAAAACAGATATATACATTCTTATATGTTTATGATTGACAGATATATGATCCTTATCACATTTTTTTATGTTTTATTTAAACACATTCGTAGATATCAACAAACGGATATAATAATTAAAAATGTTATTTTTGAGTTATGAAATACATTTCAACAAGAAACTGTTCAAATAAGTCAAAATGTTTACGTGTACCCAGGCTTAAAATAAGAAAAAAAAATTTTTATTTATAAAATTACATATGAATCTAGTGAAAGATATAGTTTATTTTATTCATTAAAATCAATTATATATAACACCAAATACAATTATACAATTACGGACAATACAATATATGAAACATTTTATATGAAAAATTGCATAACTTTAGTCATACTATACATCATAACTTCAACACTGTACACTTAAAATATTGGACATTATCAATTTTTATTTTTATTTTTATTTTTGCTAAAATATTAAAATAAATAAAATAATCGAAATGACTATCTCAATTTATTTGCAGTATATGGTAAATTCACGATTTAAAATAAATTATTCTGTTTACAACTACTGTTCCCATAATCAGAACAAACGTAATAGCCATTTAAGGTTATTGGACGACTTCTCCCACTATGCACAAGAAGACAAGTCATTATGCCGTAAACATGAAATTTCATCAATGCAATACATTTGCATAATAAATCAGAATGTACAATTATCAATAACATAGTATCGTTTCTAAATATTTAACTAATATACGTTAACTTTTACATCAGTAAATTGTAATAGATATTTATGATTGTATAAATATACTACATAACAAATTAAAATATTAAGGGAAGGTACCTAGTCGTGGAACTAAAGTTGATTTCAATTACTAATAAGAAATTTAAACTGATCAAAAAAGGAAATGTTGTAAGATAGCAACTTTTTATAGTACTATGTGATATTTAATGACTTTCTAAGGATAAAGTTAATTTTTACTGTATTGGAAGGGTTTAAACATGGTAAATTGTAAGCGACGCGTAAAACTGTTTCGGAACGAAAATGAATCTTAGGCTGATAAATGTTTTCTATACAATATACACACGCCTCTATTCTGATCCAATTGACACCACGGTATTTAGGTCGACCTGCTCGATTGCACGTGATTAATCTCGATATTGGATTTCCGTAGGCACCGCAACGTAAAGGGAAATGTCATGATTGACGTTCCGTGTGCTATTAATTTCTGACCAACCATTTCTTCATGGACAGAAAAAAATTCATCGCAAAGAGCAAAATAAAAATGCAATAAACGTTCATATTGTTTTCATTTAATTGAACTGAATAATTCAGTAACGTTAAAAAGAAAATATTTGATAAATGCAATAAAGTTTTTATATAAGTAGCATTTAAATCTTATTTAGCATTTACGAAATTTTAATTATCTGGAAACTTTCATCATGGACCAGATAATTGAAGTCGTACTTTCCTTATTTGTTATCAAATTAAAAGATTATATAAATGTTCATAATGAATTTATTCTTATTTCAAATGGTTTTCTCAATCGTTATTTGAACGTTTGACAATTGGCAGTAACAAAGAAATTTTTTATATTATACATAATACCTTATATTATTTATCGTATATAAAAATACATTATATTTTTCGTTACATTAAACATAAGTGCTGTAGAGTGTAGTACTATAATGAAAAAGTGAGAACAATTAATATTATGAATTTAAAAAATTTATTATATGTTCAGTTATTTTACATTTAAAAATTTTTTTAATTTAACTTACTCCCCTCACGCCAGTAACTCAGAAACAGTGTTCGCCCATTACCTTTACGCAAGGAGCTACCCGAGGCTGTGAGCAATTCTATGGAGTGTTCAATATAAACAAGTAAGTAGGTATCAAGAGGGTAAATTTTCGTGTGAAAGTATCACTAAAATGCCTACGGGCATTTAATTATCGTTCATTGTTTAAAGGAAGTCCCCTGAAAGGAATGCGGGTTTCATTGGTCAGCTTTCATCTTTTCTCATCGCATTTTCAATACTAATTTGCTATTGGTCAATATGTTACATTTAACCAATCAGAACTATAAACAAAATCCCTAACGAGAGACCCCTCTTGCCCCTGTGCCGCCTTTTGGCTCATTTCGTAAACAACGTTCTATATATGAGTAGTTCTATTTAGTGTTCAATCAAACAGGTAAAAGTAGGTATGAAGAGGATAACTTCTCGTGAGGGGAGTGTCACTAGAGTCGGATATCGATTTAGATATTCTTGTAATAAACTACCGACAGCTACCCGGCGGTATTCATAATACCATAAACAAGGTTGATTTTCATTATTAAAGTGAACCGATCCTATTAAAAAATTATGTAAATATATTTTTGAAAATTCTTACACAGCCGATCAAAGAATAATAGTACATTCTCAAAATCAAATAAAATAAATGTAAATTTGAATGAAGTTTACAAGTTTGTAGAAATTATTACAATTACAGTACACTTATTGTATTACATTAGACAATATTCACTTTGTAACTTTATGTATGATACAAAATTCGTATGTTAACTATTAACAGCGATAAAAAGTAAATAAAAAATAATTAAAAATTAAAGAAAATAATTTTCTATTAATTTTGAATAAAATCCCTAGCATGGCAGCGTTTTAACATTGGGTTTCTATTGTTGGTCATATTGATTGTCTTAATATCCTGCATTGCAGGTTCCATACTGTGTAGGGGCCTGTGTTCAGAAAATTCTGTCAAAAAAATGTCAGCAATGGTAAGTTTGAACGTAAAAGTGGCTATTAATCTCATTTTATCATTTGTTGCTAATATATGAAATAGTTCAATTCAGAAAACATTTATTCGCAAGTAATTTGTAACCACCCCCTCCTTACCTTCAGTCTCATCAATACTTTTGACTATGGATATTACATGCTTTCAATGAAAGTCATACAACACTTAAACGGTAAAATTGCATTTTTTCAGAGAATGAAAGCAGTGAGATGTCCCACTGATGAACTCAGTATTACTAACTGTGCTATAATTAATCCAGATGACTATCCAGATGATGTCAGGTACAGATAAGTCATCTTCTGATTAATTCATTGATTTAGCATCTATAATAGGATCTCAAGATTAAGAGGTCTATGTATGTCATATAGATTTTGTGGAAGCTTTTAAGTGGATTGAAACATTGCTGATTTATTATTTTCTTGATAATGTTTAATACATAATTATATATGTATATATGATGTTATGCTGTACATCATTGTTTTATATTTAAATTATTATAAATATAAAAAAAGTCTAACTATAACTATTTTACTGTTTACTATTATTATGGATTAAATATTTTGAAAATACCATAGCTTTTATAATTACATTTTTTAGACATATCGAAGTTACTACTGCACCGAATCATCATTTTGTATTTACCGTAAAAAGACATCATGAGGTACCCAGAGGAACAGTTGGTTTTAGTTTACCTCAAAGAAAATGGGCTACTCTTTCCCTCAATCAGGAAATTGAAGTGCGACCTTATCATTTCAATCCTACTTCGAGCACAGAATGTCTTTGCACTATTGTATTGGAAGCTGATTTCATGCAAAAGAAATCGTGTGTACACGCTAATATCTATTCATATGTACATCTATGTGGCATGTTAAAAACATATCAATTTATTTTAGAACAACACTGGAACCCTATAACACAGATGAAATGGCCAGAGATTTCCTATTACAGTTTTCGGGACAGGCATTCACTGTAGGTCAGCAGGTGGTGTTTCAGTTTAAAGACAAGAAAATCCTTGGTCTTGTAGTTAAAAGTTTGGAAGCTGCTGACCTTTCCGCTATAAGTTCTGGGCAAAACACTGTGCCTAAAAAGACTCAAATGGGACGTTGCCTAGGTGATACTGTAATACAATTTGAGAAAGCAGAAAATTCGAGCTTAAACCTTGTTGGTAAAGCAAAAGGGAAAGTTGTTCGTCAATCGATTATCAATCCAGATTGGGACTTCCAAAAGATGGGAATTGGTGGCCTAGATAAAGAATTCAGTGCAATTTTCCGAAGGGCGTTCGCATCACGTGTTTTTCCACCAGAAATTGTCACTCAGTTAGGTTGTAAACATGTTAAAGGAATTTTGCTTTATGGTCCGCCAGGTACAGGTAAGACGTTAATGGCGCGACAGATAGGGACTATGTTAAATGCCAGAGAACCTAAAATCGTCAATGGCCCTCAAATACTGGATAAATATGTAGGAGAAAGCGAAGCTAATATTAGAAGATTGTTTGCCGATGCTGAAGATGAAGAGAAGAGGGTATAAAGATATTTTCATGTTTCAAAGTAGTATACTTAACTACCTACTTTACTATTACCGTCGTTATAATAAAAAATAAAATATAATTTTCAGCTTGGGCCGAACAGTGGATTACATATAATTATTTTCGACGAGATAGATGCTATTTGTAAGTCAAGAGGCAGTGTTGCTGGAAATACAGGGGTACATGATACTGTTGTGAATCAGTTACTTGCGAAGATCGATGGTGTAGAGCAATTAAATAATATTCTTGTTATTGGTATGACCAACAGAAGAGATATGATCGACGAAGCTTTGTTACGACCCGGTAGATTAGAAGTACGTGTCACTATAATATAGCTAATTATAAGTACTTTTCAAAACAAACAATATATTACATTTATATTAAATGTATTTATATTAAATATCCAAGGTACAAATGGAAATTAGTTTGCCAGATGAACATGGACGATTCCAAATCCTTAACATTCATACATCTAGAATGAGAGACTACAAGAAGATAGCATCTGACGTTGATTTGAAGGAATTAGCTACGCTGACTAAAAACTTCAGTGGTGCAGAATTGGAAGGTTTAGTCAGAGCTGCGCAGAGTACAGCTATGAACAGATTGATCAAGGCTTCTAGCAAGGTAGAAGTGGATCCAGCAGCAATGGAAAAACTTATGGTTTCTAGAACTGATTTTCTTCATGCTTTGGATAATGACGTTAAACCTGTAAGCTATTGAAAAAGAAAAAGCAGTATCAAAAAAATGGAGTAATTATAAAGTCAATAATTATATGTATTTTGTACTCCAGGCATTCGGTACCAGTGCAGAAGCACTGGATCATCTTCTTATACGTGGAATTATTAACTGGGGTAAACCAGTGGCAGAAATTTTGTCCGATGGAAATCTCTACATCCAAGAAGCTCGAGCCACCGAAGGCTCTGGTCTTGTATCAGTTCTCTTGGAAGGTCCGCCTAATAGCGGAAAAACCGCTCTTGCAGCACAAATTGCGAAAAATTCCGATTTTCCGTTTGTCAAAGTATGTACACCAGAAGACATGGTTGGTTTCACCGAATCTGCAAAATGTCTTTCAATTCGAAAGGTAATGGTATTGCTTTAACGAAACAAGTTAAATTGCAGAAATAACGAAAAGAATCGACAGTTTACTTTATCTTTATCATTATAGATATTCGACGATGCGTATCGTTCGCAGCTTAGTTGCATTTTAGTCGATAATATCGAACGCTTACTGGATTATGGACCCATTGGACCACGATATTCCAACCTGACTTTACAGGCTCTTTTAGTTTTATTGAAAAAACAGCCACCACGTGGTCGCAAATTATTAATTCTATGTACGACAAGTCGCAGGTAAAATAAATAATTAAAGTTAGATAATTTACCTAAATAAAGATTTCAAATTTTTTATTTAAGTTCTGAATAATTTTTAACAATTTTGTCGTAATAATTAACGTAATGTTTGATGATTAATGTACTTACAGACAAGTATTGGATGATATGGAGATGTTGTCAGCTTTTAGTACAACTCTGCATGTTCCGAACTTGTCGACTCCCGATCATCTTTTGAGTGTTCTGGAAGAAGTGGATCTTTTCAGTAAAGAGGAAATAGTATCTTTGCACGCTAAACTTCAAGGAAAACGGTATATTTTCATTTATATATTACAAAATATTTTGCATAAACCTTTGCGTATTTTAAACTTAAACTTTGTGCTTTCTGTTATAGGGTATTTATTGGTATAAAGAAGTTGCTGTGTTTAATAGATATGGCGCGTCAAGTAGAAGCAAATTATAGGGTTCCCAAGTTCCTCTCAAAATTAGAAGAGGAGGGTGGACTAGAGTAATGAGTATTTATTTTAAAAGAATGTAATTATTTATGTAGAGATGAATTAGATGTTCTGATGACCGGAAACCAATACACATTAAGCAATCGACCGATTTGCATTTAAATGCACGTTAAAAACATAAATGAGTTTAAAAGAACCAGATAAAGTTATTGTTACAAGCTATATACGTGTTATAGGGAAAAATAAGAGAAGCATTTAAATTATTTACTACTTATTAACTGTTTGCATTTTTTATTATTTCTTCCAAGTTATCTTAGTACATCATCGATAAAATCAAGAAGTACAGTATTTATAATTCTTTTAATTTTCCGGTATTTCGTTGTAAATTTTGGATTAAAAATCATATTACAGTAACCCTTCAAAAGGTTCGTTTATGATCAGTGAACGATTTTTTTCGTCGTCACATCAAAACAGCTACATATTTGAAACATGACGTAATCTAAATAACATTTAGTTACATTAATGGTAATATGTATTTTTTTATATAAAAGTTCTCGCGTTATGAGATATAATTTAATTTAAAATTGTTATATTGTTTTCGTCACTTTTTAATTAGGCATATCATATCAGTTTCATAATATATACTGAGACTTTAATAAGGCATTAATAGATGTCATGCAGGTATATTATGTAACATCATTTTGACATTCTGTATTGAATTTATTGAAATTTTATGAGGGTCAAATATTCTAATCTTCTGAAGCGTTACTGTGCATAGGTAGCCTGAAATTTTCAATGAAATTTAACAATTTCAAGAAAATTGTATGACAGATGTACAGTTAAAATGTAAAAAAGAGAAAGTATAATAATCGAAAGGTAGAATTTTTTTCAATGAAAATAACCTTTTGCCATAAAATATAGATTACAAATTGTTGTTGTGTTGTGAAATCTTTAAAAGATTTATTGTATTCAATTCAATGGCAATATGTATATGTAAAATACTAATCATGCATTTTTGTCGTATAAATATTAAATTTGCTTCTGTAAGTTGCAGGGAACATGCTTCCTTTAATTTATTACTTTATTTTACAGGGTGATAGATCTGTTCCATTACTAATAAAGATAGCCTTTGTAATAATTGCTACAATTATTTATTTATCAGAAGAATTTAGATTATTATACACATTGTAAACATGTATTTTTATGCATCCATTTGTATGTAATGTACATCTATATAACTATTTGCTGTGTGATTATTGTTATCTCAGAAGTTTATTGTAATTCTTATTGTAAATGTATGTATGTGTTTGATTGACTGGTGTTAGTTACATAGTCAATATCTCTTAGAAGTATCTTTGATGAGAATTATTATCAAATCATTCCAAATGTATGGTACATATTTATTTTATCGTTAAAGAAATATAATCTTCGCATCCGATATTATCTGAATGTGACACATAATATTTGAAGATGAATTAACAATTTAATTTTTAGTTAATTAATATATTAGTAATGTTAAATTGTAGATTTATGTCAGTATATTTATATACTGTTTAAGAATTATTTAAAAATTGTTCGATTTGTTATATGTATATAATTCCAAATTGCTTATGAGGGAAGTTGTGTATCATACGAGACTTCCTGTTTTGCTTGATAAATAATGTAATATGGATCGTATATCTGTACTTACGAATAGTATCTGTGTATGAACATGATGCAATAATAAACTTACATCTTGCAAATGTGTTGTATGTCTTATTGAAAAAATTGAATCATTATATAATGCTATTTTCGTTTTAAACACATCTCGTGTTCCTCAAGTTGAAGTTAATAACAATTTAGATTGCAAGTTCAGTCTTTGAAAAAGTTATAAACAGGGATTATTGAAAACAGGGTTTCTTTGAAATTATTATTCTGTATTATTTTTGTTTTCATATTTTTTAAGTGAATATGGCAGTATTACACGTCTAACTTACAATTCACACCTATTTACACTTTTATAAGCCTTAAAACAATTTCGGTATACGTAATGTAGATAATTTTATGCGTAAACTATATAATTCCGAATACCACACTTTGAATGCATCTATTCTAAGAAAAAACATAAACGAAACGAGAAAAACATTTACATGTAATACAGATCGTAATCTACAAATAGATATTCTACAGTAAACCTTTTTACAAACGGTAATAGTTCTATACAATAATGTACATTTTCTTTATACAGTTAGTTCTTTTCGATTTATAGTGCCTTGCGATAATATTTATCAAGTTTGCAGATATTTTAAATAATATTTGTTTATTATGTGCGTTTACAATTTTTTTATTTACTAGTAGTAACAATTTAATAAATATATATAATTGATTGAAATTATTATAATTAATTGAAATTATGGCTGCAATAAACAATTAGTTAACAGAAATGACATAGCTTTTAATTTAATGAATTTATAATATAATTGGAGGAACAGTGAAATCTGAACAAATCTTGTAATGATTAAATAAACTCGAGAGATTAATCTATTAGAATTACTTGTATGATGGCATTTACATAATTTGACAATTTTAATAACGAAGAAATAAATTTGAACGTACTAAACGTATACACACGCACGCGTGATGATTATAGATATATGTATATACATATATATGAAAAGATACGAGGAACGTAATATACTACGAATATATATAAAAATAATGCGCATATATTTTTCGTGTATAAGTGTTCTTTTTTTTAAATTTATTATTTGTTTCGTTAATGTTATCTTGTAGATCTTCTAAATTCGAAAAATACGATAAGTAAAAAAATTAACAGAGCAGTATACAAATTTTGTTATCACGTATCATCAATTTAGATGTTTCACTTCATCATAAAATTATTATCATACATTTTTTTTTATTTAACGTTCCATATGACACTGCGCTGTAACGTTTGCGATTAACAGTAAAAAGATTTTATAAAAGAAAAACAAGGTTTAGATTATCACATAAATTTGATATAAACATCTATTTCCTATTATGTATGTTCTTTATCTTTGTGTAACCGAACATAACTCTGTAATTTTCCCTCTTCACTTGTAATTTATGCAAAGATAAAGATGATATATGTATAGTATGTACAATCAGAAAATGTATGACTATTCCTCGTGTGCTTTGAGTACTTGGCAGTATTTAGGCACCTTACTTCCTCCAAGGAAAGAACAATTTATATTTCATACACACACTGTATAGCTCGAATTTCGTGTGATACGTAATCTTATAACATTTCATTAAGATTTCCTTTCTACATAAATTATGTCGACAAAATAAGGATATTTAAAAGAATAACGATTTCGATATCATACATAATCTTCACTTATCTTAAACAGAATATTTCCCTTATTCTTATTATATTACAATGTCCATTAATCCTTCAGCTATTAATATTTGCTTTATGACATAAATAATTCTGGCGTGAAAACGTGTCAAGTGTACAATCTTCGCCCCAAATAAATTGGTCGAACATGTGCTCTTCTTCTCTTTTTTGTTTTAAGAATTCTTAAATATACAATTCGTATTTAATGTACACGCGTGTAACATGTTTGCATAGAAAGGTAATGTATGCCAGGTTTATCACACCACATTGATAATAGTTTATAGAATTTTAAAGCATAAATTTGGAACACTTAGTACGAAGTTTAAACGCAGATATATCAACAATATCATGTTTATCCTTAATAATACTCAAGTACCCCTCAGTAATATCTATTGTAAGTATGCATGTTAAACAATCCTTATATTCTTGTATCATACGCGAATCAATACCTGTTACGTGTTAAGTCATGTTACAAGCATTTAGTTAAGTGTTCGCAAATTGTCTTGTAAAGATAATACTATGTATATGCAGAGTGTATAAACACAGATTACGTTCTTTTTTTCCGTTTTTAAATAACAATTATATAGAAAATATTCTTAACATGTACATTAATCGGAGAAAATGTTTTCAATATCGGTTAAAAACGATATCTGTGACATGCGTTTGATATCAACCAGCACCAAGCAAACTTACATGTTCCAATAATCTGTGTCTTTGCTTTCTATCTTATATTAGATTACATAATTTTCTTATTTTACAAATACTTTGTTAATGTAGTACATAAACGAGTCTAACTTACAAGCACTGAGAAGGGTGAAGGTTTCCTTTCAATGAACAATAGTCCCTAATCTTGCTTGAAGAATAAAAAGAATATAAATATTTCTACGAACAACGTCGAAATCAATAAAATATTCATTTTTTTTCGAGAGTGATATATTTTCAATTTACTAATGGTATGAACTGAATAAAAAAAGAC